GTCACGGGAGGTACTTCGCCCTCCACCGGGTCGAAATTGGCCGCAGAGTTGACTCGCCTTTTCTCGTACAGGCTGTAGTGGGATCGGCAGGAGTTATGTTGATGCCCTTCTGGGTGCAGGGTGAGACAATCTTTTGCCATTCATGATCAGGAGAGCTGCTGACCAACCAACCCCTCTGTAGTGCTTTCGTCACTGTAGGTGACTTGAACGAAGCAGACGGGTCACAGCTCGTCTCGCAGTTTCCGGGGTATTTGTCCTTGTTCTTGAGTGGTAGGCAGTCGCTAACTTGTAGTAGGCAAGCCGCATTCGTCAAATGCGATGTGACTTCATGGGATGATCAGGTACAACTCTTTGAAACAGCCATGAGCAAATCCCCGGCAAAGAGCTGTGATATCGTCATGGCCAACGCCGGGGTCAGTGGACTTGACGATGTCTTTGACCTCGATGGTGAGCTACCTCTAAAGAACGCAGTGTCATGGAACTTTTCTGAACGGCCCAGATCCATCCGGACCCCCTGTCAAGCCAAATCTACGTATCGTCAATATCAACCTCATCGGAGTCCTTTACACGGTCAAGCTGGCGATGCACTATTTCCGCAAGTCGCCGGTCGATGAACATCGTGACCGTTGCTTGATCCTCCAGGGCAGTACTGCGGCATACGTCGATCAACCGGGGACGCCGCAATACTCTGCATCGAAATTTGGAGTCCGAGGCTTGATGAGAAGTTTGCGTCGAACGAGCTGGATGCAGGATGTGCGGGTCAACTTTCTATGTCCATGGTAAATCCTATGCGGTCTTCCCACACACTTGTTCTTTTGGCTAACAAATACGCGCCAGGTTCACTAAAACTCCCATCATGAGCGAGGAAGTTATACAGCGTTTGGAGAAACTCAATCTGGACTTTGCGACTCTCGAAGACGCGGGCAGAGCAGCCCTCAGAATTGCAAGTGACAAGACGATGAACGGTATTTGGGCCTAGCCATATATCAATACTCACTCCCTTTTACTTACACGCTATCATTCAGGTCGCGCCATAGTTATACTCCCGCGGAAGTTTGCGCCTGAAGGGTTCATCGATGTTGCGCGAGATGACCTGAAAGCGCCTGACCCCAGGGCAATCTGGCAGTCAGAGACGTTGAGAGTCAGTCATCGCGTGGCGGTAAGTCTTGTCGCTCCTCTATTATCAACTTCGGCAAAGACTAAGAGTGTATCAGGAAGCCGAAGGACACAAGAAAGCGGCCGGTTGAGAATCTCGAGGGGCTGTCCAGAAAGGACGGGTCAAACGGCAGCAGACGCTTTGTGATATATTTACTTCGCTGGAGAAGAGATCGTATTGACATTCGACTCCATAGTGTCTCAACTCACTGATTGCAAGCTATATACGCAACAAAACTTCCCTTGTACTCTGGCAGAGTATCCCCAATAGCATCTCAATGGCGGACATTGACGGCCACGTGAGCCACCATTGTCTCATGTATCTCCTCGTGTATATAACCCTGGCTGGAAACGCGTCCGGCCCGCTACAGCCTCCAATATTATGTACATGGTGATTACAAATTTAAGGACGGCAAGTGAGCCGCGTTCCGACAACGCATCGGGAACTGAAAGCCGGGTCTATACAAGGGTGTACTCTACACAAGTATTATAGGTAGCTCGTTGGTGCAAACCTCACAGACCGGCTCACCGACACGGACTCTAAGTGCTGTACCGAGTATCCACTCCCCCTTACTCCAACATCTCCTTGCTACTAGCAAAATGGCACACTGGTACTACTGGGGATCAATCTCCGCAATCCTGGGGAATTCCCCCGCCTCCCCCAGACACACGTTCACCTCCTTGCTCAGGCGGGCCTGCTTCGTTTGTTTTCCAACTATACTTCGGCTCGCAGAAAGTTCAAGACTAGACCTCTCTGACCCGGACCATACTCCTCATCGCCGAAACGCTCCATGTACATTGGCCCGAGGTAGTATGAAAGGATTTAGGTTCAGACCGTGGTTGAGGCGGTTGGCGGTGGACTGATTTATAGATATACTTACCTTGGCCCCGTCGAAAAGAAGATCTTGCTGCCAAGTTTGACACTTTCAAACCATTCCCTTGTACCTCTTGCTGGTACACCTCGTTCCCTTCCAACATGACGGCAGATAACGTTCGCAACCACGGTGGAAATGCCTACAACTTCATCATCATTTTCACCGTGGCCCTGGGTTCCTTCGCCTTTGGATTCAACGCCGCGTCCTTTGGATCTGTCATGGGGTGAGAGTGACTTGGGAACAATTGTACCGAACCTCTGGACTAACGGGCGAACCAGTCTCCCTGGCTTCTTCTCGTACTACGACATCTCGTTGATTGACGGTGGTTCGGCGTCTAACCGTATCTTGGGGGGTAAGCTAGAATTTCCCTCGATGTTTTCTGCTACTACGAAAGTCACTCACTCGTGGGCGATATAGCTTCCAACGGCACCTATTATGGAGGCGGTCTGATCGGTTGTCTCTTCGCCGCTTGGCTGGCCGACAAATACGGTCGTATCCGCAATTTACAGATTACCTGTGCCATTTGCGTGGTCGGTGCCATTATACAGAGTGCTTCGGTGCATATGGCCATGTTTCTCGTCGGCCGAACTATCGGTGGTGCAGGGTATGGCTTTCCCAACTGCCCTGGGAATCTGAGTACCAGGCAGAGATTCTCGTTTTCAACCAAATTGATACTGACACAATTCGATCAAGGTCTGGAATGATTGTTGTTTCCGTCCCCATTTACCAATCCGAGGTCTCGCCTGCCGCACAAAGGTGAGATGATGACCCATATTTCTGCACCCCAACGGATGGTCCAAAGTTGCTAATATCCAACATTAGAGGTCGCATGGTGGGCCAACACGGCTTTTTGTTGGTGGCTGGATATGTGAGTTGGCCTTTGTTCTTCTTCTTCTTTCCAACAAAATCCTAACAAGCATTTCAGGCGCTTGCAGGATGGAGTGGTTTCGGGTGCTATTTCCAGGCGAATCCCCAGATCCAATGGCGTCTACTTTTGGCACTTCAAGGTAAAGCCGTCCATATTGTTACGCACTTGTCGAGGATAGTTCTGATCGAGGTCTCTTGATCCAGTCGTCGCCCCTCTTGCCCTTATCGTGGCCTCCCCGTGGGTGCCTGAATCTCCCAGATGGCTTGTTCATAAGGCCAAGGATGATCGCGCCATGGACATTCTGAAGAAGCTCCACCACACGTCTGAAGACGTCAACGACCTGATGGCCCGCGAGGAGTACTACCAAATCCATGCGCAGATCGAGTACGAAAGGACCAAGCCGAACAATCTGTGGGCAATGTGGAAAGTTCCCTCATACCGACGTCGTCTGGTAATCTCATGGTGCCTTCAGTATGTTTCTTTTTCCACCCCCCTTCAAACCAGATAGAACTGACTGTTGCAGATTTTTGGCCCAATCTACCGGGTGTGTTGTCGTCGCCAACTACCAGGTATTGCTATACAATAACCTAGGTCTTCACGACTCGATTCCACTCCTCCTGGCCGCAGTCTACCTCTCCTGGGCTGCCGGGTGCAATTTGTTTGCTGCTATGGTCGTGGACCGCTGGGGCCGTATCCTCATGATCACAGTCGGAGTCGTAAGCACCAATCTATAAAAGGCCTCTTTCGAAAAGTCACTGACCTAACCGCCTCCCAGTTTGGCTGCCTCGTGATGCTCTCCTGCACCACCGCCATGATTGCCTGCTTCGCGGGAACCGACAACAAAGTAGGCAATGGATTCGGGGTATTCTTCATCTTCGCCTTGGTCGGCTTCTATGGCAGCTGCATCGACGCGAACTCGTTCATCTACTGTACCGAGATATTCCCCACCCACGCGCGCGCACAGGGCCTGTCGTTCGCCTTCACCGGGTATCTCGTCGCTGCCATCATCTACAACGAGGTCGCACCGACCGCTTTCGCCAACGTCGGCTACAAGTTTTTCTTCCTCTTCATCGCCCTCATGATTGTGGGCCTCCCACTCTTTTGGTATTACAGCCCGGAAACCAAAGGCTTGACGTTGGAGGAAATCGCCACGTTGTTTGGCGACGAAGTTCTCATCGATCTCTCAAACATGACAGCCGAAGAAAGGGAGAGGTTGGATCAAGAGCTGATGAAGTCTGAAGGCCCGGACTTTGTCAAGGAGAAGACTCTGGTCATCTCGGAGGAACGTGAATACAAGGGTACCTGAAAGCCTCATTGTAGGCTTCACTGTGAAGATGGGCACTTTTGATGGAGGACTCTGCAGGTTGAAATTCTCTCGACAAGTCTAGTTCATTCGAGGCCCGGGAGTCCTGTATCTAGATTTGTTGACGTCTTCAAGAGGCAAGCAAGCAAGTAAGCCATATTGTGTATCGCCACTCCGTTTCTATGCTTCGCCCCCCAAGAATAGTCGCATCCCTCAGGTTTGAGTCAGTGAATAGTCATTTGTTTGGCTCTCCAGAAATCCTTGGACTTCGACAGACGGTAGCTGTGCATTCATCTTCACTGTAGGTCAATTTGCTCTAATTGATGAAAAGGTTGTACAACAGTCGAGCACTGCTCTCTCATCTTTCCACTCTTGACCACGACCCTTGCCCGGTGGTTTTTTTCATGTTACTCAGCGGCTCGGGTCTGGTCTGGTCTGGCCTGCCGAAGCTGCATGCATCCTTGTCCGGTTACCATTTCTCAGTTCTCGGTTCTCAGAAGAAAGGTTCATCCGCGTGTGATGCCCTTCCAGCCTCGATGTGCTGCCCGGTAGCCGAACCGAAGCCGTGAGCCGCAAACGGCAAATTTTCACGCCCGTCATGACTGTGTAGCAGACACTCTACTACTGTGTTATTAAGGTTCAAATACTTTTAGACTGAAAATGACTATCTCTGACTTGATTAACTACGCCGGTACCGTGTGAATCGAAGTTCGCTGCTCTGGTTTTTCGACCTTCTTGGGGAAGTACTTTTGAATCTCTACCACGGATTGTTGCATATCATATCACAGCATAAACTCAGATGGCGCCAGCGGAGGTCAATGGACATGGATCCCATCATGCCCTGTCAGGTTTCTACGAAGAGACAAACACCGGGTATACCGTCCTGGAGGAGCCCTTGGGCACGCCCAGGCACCTTCGCGTTGTCGTCGTGGGTGCCGGTGCCAGTGGACTCAACACAGCGCGACACATGGAGTTGCACATGAAGAACTACGAGTTGACCATCTACGACAAGAATGCCGACGTTGGAGGCACTTGGTTCGAGAACAAGTATGCCCCCTCGCCTCTTCAACCAAGGAAATTTCTTTTTGGTTTCCCACTCTTGATGAGCATACTGACAGATCTCCTTTGCGAGATATCCTGGCTGCGCCTGCGACATTCCTTCTCACAACTACCAGTTCACGTGGGAGCCGAATCCTAATTGGACACATTTGTACGTTTATTCACATGCTCGTTCATTTTGCACGGGATTTTGCTTTTCTGACCAAAAACACGGCAGTTATTCGAGTTCCCAAGAGATCCTGCAGTATTTCAAGGACATTGCGGAAAAGTATGAGCTGTACAAGCACGTACAACTGAATCATTTTGTCCAAGAGGCATCGTGGGACGAGGACCAAGGCATCTGGAATATCAAAGTCAAAGACGTGCTGACCGGGGCCACGAAAGAGGACTGGGCACACGTCTTTATCAATGGCTGTGGGATTCTCAAGTACGTTATGCCCGAGAGATATTGGTCGAGGTAACATCCAGCTGACATGGTTTTTTTTTTTTTTTTGCCAGTAATTGGAAGTGGCCAGACATTCCTGGTTTGCACTCCTTCAAAGGCGCTTTGATACACAGCGCCGCTTGGGACGACGGCTACGATTTCCGAGGCAAAGAAGTTGCCGTTCTCGGGTGCGGATCGTCTGGCATTCAGATTGTTCCCACCATACAGCCAGGTAAATGAACACCGGTTGGCAACGTGGCCTGTTTTGGGGGGGGCTTTGTGGGCTTATTGATCAAAAACAGCTGTCAAGTCTCTGACAACATTCATTCGCACACCGACCTGGATCACTGCGGGATTCGCACAAGACCACGCCGGCCCTGGGGGCGCAAATTTCGCTTGTAAGTGGTTTGTCATCTACATACTTGTTTCCACAATTGAGGCCCGTGATTGACGAAAAGATGCACAAATAGTCAGTGAACAACAGAAAAAGGAATTCAGGGAAGATCCCAAGAAATACATGCAGTACAGAAAGTCGATCGAGAGCGAACTCAACCGTCGATTTAAGATTGTGCGTCTTTTTGGTTGCTTTTCTCGAATAAAAACAAATTCACCTCAATAGCTGACGTTGGTGTTCAGGCTATCATGGGAAGTCCTGAACAGGAAGAGGCACGGCTATACTCGATCAACGAGATGCGCACGAGACTCCACTACAATGAACGTCTCGCGAAAGCCTTGATTCCAACCTTTGGCGTGGCTTGTCGCCGTCCAACACCGGGAAATGGGTATCTCGAAGCGTTAATGGCACCCAACACGAGGGTCATTACCGATCGTATCGAATCAGTCGTGCCGGAAGGCATTAAGCTCGCTACCGGCGAGATTGTCAAGGTGGACGCGTTCATCTGCGCCACGGGATTCGACATCTCGTTCTGTCCACGGTTCAAACTCACCGGGCGAAACGGCACGATTCTCTCGGAGCAGTGGTCACAAAAGCCAGAAGCTTACCTCTCGATGGCGACAAATAACTTTCCAAATTACTTTAGTGAGTCTCCTCCTCCTCCTCGTCCACCAATTTTCGGGCTTTGACCAAAGTTCTTTGAATTTCAGTGTTCCTGGGACCGAATTCACCCGTGGCGCACGGTTCGAACCTCCCCATCATCGAACACACGACGAAATACCTCATCAACCTGATGAAGAAGATGCAGACGCAGAACATCAAGTCCGTGAGTCCCAAGGTCGAGGCGATCCGGGACTTTGGCGTGCACACGACGGAATTCATGAAGCGCACGGTCTGGGCCACGCCGTGCCGCAGCTGGTTCAAGAACGGGACGGTCGACGGACCCATCATCGCCTTGCATCCCGGAGGTCGCATCCACTGGTTCCACATGCTGAAGCACATGAGGTTGGAAGATTGGGAGTATACGTACCACACGGACAATCGGTTCCAGTTCCTCGGCAATGGCTTCTCGACCATGGAGGAGCCAGGCGAGGATAACGCGTGGTACTTTGAAGATCCGGAGGAGGGGTACAACGACTACTAGAGCAGACAGGGAATAGATCTCAGCTCATGAGAAGGTCGTGGTGTATTGTCTCACAAGGCTATTACAGGCTTGAATTGACGTTGCTGGAACAAAGTGCTATGCGATATGCAATACTGTTCTGCTATGCCGCCACCGCCGTCGGTGCGTCGGTGCCGATCACTCCGAACTGAACTAGTAATAACGTATCGGGATTAGCTTGAATGTCCTTGATAGGAATGGTGACTATATCCCACCAATAACAACGCGTTACAATTCGCTTGCGAGATCGGCTAGTGCCAGGAACGGCAATAACAGTGTACGAGGTAGTGAAGGGGGTAACCAGCAGTCCCGCTGACCAAGTGATGGCGGGCATGGGTATCACAGGCTTCGGCCGCGGCTTCACTCGTGGGGGGAGGGGGGGATTCTCTTTGGAAAGTGCACCTTCGAGTTCCTGCTCAGCCGTTCTTTTGGCATTCTCCATTTGCGAATTCCTCCCGGCCAAAATAATCGACAGGGCGTCTGTCCACATGGCTGATGGAACTCAACTTTCTCCGGCGTCATAGTTTGACCCCCCCCTTGTCGGAAGAAATATCTCGCGAGGCTTCTGAAGGTGAGGGATCCGCCTGAATATAGGTAGATGTATGCTGAGCCGGGTACTGATTGGTATGAAAGCACTCGCCATCTTCGTTCCGGGGGAGACGTTAACGCCAAATTGCGCATGCCTCATTCATTGAGCTACGCTTCAGTTGGCAACTCAAAAGGCGGGAATTATTCTCATGACTCCAAAAGGATATGTGTGTGTGTGTCTGTGTAGAGACGTAAACCGCGAAGTTTTGCTCACAACGACAAACAACAATCCTCGGGTATCATGTTTGGGAGCAAAACCTGTCTCCTAACCTTATTTCCCCGCCCAACGGTCCGGAGTATGGCTCAATACTTGACTGGGGAAACGGCAAACGCGGAGCAAAGGGTGGGCACGCAGCAGCCACAGTTCTCCGAGACGGAAAGCATTCGGCATCCTGCCGCGGGTTGAGGTGAGTATCACATAAAAAAACACACGAGTTTTGCTCTGTGTCTGGGTCAAAACGACACGACGCAAAGGTCCACGGTTTCCTTTTCTCTCTATCACCAAAATAATGTCTTTCAAGGGCAAAACAGTTGCCATTACGGGGGCGGCGTCTGGCATCGCCCTCACACTGGCAAAACTCTTAGCAGAGAGGGGCGCCAGATTGGCATTGGCGGATCTGAACGAAGCCGCTCTCAACAAGGTCGTGCAAGAATTCCAAAGCCAGGGAGTCGAGGTCGTGGGCACCGTTCTCAACGTCGCCTCGAGTGATGCGGTGGATAACTGGATCAATTCGACAGTGGCACACTTTGGCGGCTTGGATGCCGCGGCGAACCTGGCCGCCATTGACGGTGGATTCAACGACGTCAAAGACCTGAAGAACGAAACTTGGGACAAGGTCATTGCCGTCACGTTGTCGGGCACCATGTACTGCGTCCGGGCGCAGATCCGGGTCATGAAGAGCGGCGGCAGTATCGTCAACGCCTCTTCCTTGTCAGGCACGTTTGGTCGGCCGGGGCTGGGGGCATACGTCTGTGCGAAGCACGCCATTGTCGGATTGACCAAGACGGTGGCGAAGGAGGTTGGATCGCAAGGGATCAGGATCAATGCTGTCGCGCCGTGAGTAGTAACCTATCTCAACCGTCCTGCCTCCCGGGGTGGGTTTTTCAAGCTGACTTCCAATTAGCGGTCCGATCGATACACCCATGCTGGAGAAACTACTGTCAGGTCCTCGCTCGTCAGGTTCGAGCCAGACCACGAGCACATACACCAACTTGCCGCTGGGGAGAAAAGGCAAGCCGGACGAGGTGGCCAAGTTGTTTGCATTCTTGCTCAGCGACGACGCGTCTTTCATCACAGGCGCCGTAGTTCCCATAGATGGTGGTGCTGCCGCATAGTGTCATCAAAAGACGCACGTGGAATTCTCAGAGCATTTGAGTCGAGACGCTAAGTGGCGCTTTCGTTCTGTATCTCTCTCCTAGTTGACAGGTTTGAAAGAGCTCTGGACAGATCGAACACGTATGCTGTGTTGTTGTCGTTTCTACCTCATGGCAGACGAAATGAAATACCTGATCATCGATCAGACCGGGGCTGGTTATTCCCTTATCATAAATAGTCCACGGAAGAGAGGGAGGAGAAGCTCTCAGCACACAAACAGCCACCTGAGCCCTGGGGCCAAAGTGGCAACAGAAACTCAACTCGCATGAAAAGGGCTGGAGAAACTATAGGCCGACTCGCTCACTCAGCCCAACGGAAAAACATAAGTATGCCCACTTGCAACTCTCCTCCGAGTTCACATGCTCTGATACTCCGTTGTTCCATAAGCCATACATATACGAAAGGCCAATCGCCAGAGAAGATACACGTTCCTCGCTGATGTGCCCGCTATCTACCTAGCTCGGGGCGGTGTGCATGACTAAACCCTCCGAGACGAGGTGTCGTAACATACATACATACCTCACATGCAGTCAGCAACACGATTCGCACGTAAGCCTCGTTGGTTTCTCTGAGTGTGCCCCCAACACGGTAGGATAGACTGTTACCTTCTCCGGGGGAAATATTCCCAGGATAATGGCCAGTCGTCACTACTGGCTAAATGTGAGACCCGTGCTGTGCGTTGTCTAAACTACCGTGAAAAGGCACGATGAGGGAGGGCCTGTCATCTTGTCTTCTGCCTCTCTCTCAATATAATCACAGGTGAGTTCGGTAGAACCAGGACAAAGGACCCGATACAAACCCCAGGGAACACGACATCACGAGTTCTCGTCATTTTCAAAAATAAAAAACCCACCCATATCATATACTCGGTTCAGTTCGGGACGCAAAACAGAAAAAGCCAATCAGACCCCGCTCCCAGCCATGAATACTACTACCTCGCCCCCGACGTTGAACCACGTCCTCAACCTCACCCTGACGACGACCGCGGTGCTCGACGCCGGCGCGACCCCTCGCGGCCGGATCAGCTGGGTCGAAACGCCCTCGGGGGAACTGACGACGCCGGCGGGCGAGAAGATCGCCTCCGTCATCCCCGGCGGCGGCGACTACTTCACACGACACGTCGACGACCTGACCATCGAGGTCGACCTGCGGGTCATTGCGCAGACGGAGCCGGACCCGGCGACGGGGTCGACTACGCTGTTCAAGTTCCACTGCGTCGGGTACGATAAGCTCACCGGGCCCATCATGAGCGCCTTGGACGGCGCTGTTGCCCCGGCCCCGGACACAGATGCAGACGCTGCCAAAGCTGCGGCTGGTCCTCCCACCAATGAAGAAGCAGGGATGCCCTCGGCGCTATACGGCACCGAGGTGCTCTGGTGCAACACCTCCAGCAGGGAGTACTGGTGGATGAACTTTGCCGTGCTGGTCGCCAAGGTCGCGCTGATTCTTGGGCCTGGGGGAGTCGAGAAGGTAGAATATGCGATTTACCAGGTCGTTGTGTGAGGGGTCGGGGATTAGGGATGGGGACGGGATAGAGTACAGGTCGAATATCGTTCATTAAAACACGTCGCTGTCGCTGCCGCTGCCACATCGGTAGGGACAGACGAGATGTAAAGTAACATCCTACGTACGAGTGACTGGCACACTTCCCGGCTACTGTGGTACTATCCCAATATCTCCAGAGTACATGATCGCTAGCTGATCAAATCCAATGCCACCCCGGTCTTCGCCTTGAGGTATAGGTAAGTGGCAGCCATAGCCATGGCAATAGCCGTGATCGTAACTCCATCACCGTCGCCATCATCATCATCAACACCAGACCACTCCATGACCGACCCGTGGAAGAGCAGGACGCCAAACCATTGCCCTTCAAGTCCCATTTGACATTTTGCCATCCGTTCGAATCATTCATTCAGAAATGCCTCTCAATCCAACCCAACCCTCGTAGCCACATACATTAGTCATAAACACCTTGCATTCGACTTTTCGTTGATATTGTTTCTCATTTTCGTAATAGTATCAGTAACAGCCGTCGTCAGTCAGGCCGTTAAACTTGTTCACCCTTTTTTTTTTCTGGCGGAGCAGGGGTTGAGGTACCACAGGATGGGAATGGAAGATACTGCTGCGGACAAGTGTGACCAATCCGCATTACCAGCATCACCCAAGAAGACCAGTGCTTGACATCCACTTGTGGCCCCGACCGCGGAACTCTTGTTGCTTACTTTTGTTGAAGCGTTGAAGTCTGACTGTCCTCAGACGTCGCTCGCGAATGTGAGGCCGAGGAACATGCCGACTTGGGCTGTCGGATGTCGACCAGCTCCGTGACTGTGCCTCTGGGCCCTTTGTCGAACGAGATGGGTCCAGCCAAGTGCAACGACGGTAGACTGCTCGTCCGCTCGTAGAGGGTTCGCTCCTCTGTGATCTGGCTTCGAGTAGCAGTGTCTGTTCGTGAGCCCGTCGATGTCGATGCGGAACCAGGTGCCGACGCGGATGCAAGCCACGACTTGTTGCGCAGGTCGACGGAAAGCATCTTGACTCTTCGATAAGTCATGCACACTCTCGCCTTGAGTGCACCCGCACAGGCGGCGCAGATGCCGATGTGGTTTTCCACGCCCGCCCAGATGAAGACCAGAGCGTAGTTTTCTGTAAGTTGACATGGCATGTTAGCAAGCTTGCGGTGATATAGACCCTATGTGAAAGGGTGAGAAGGGATGCGAGGAGAGCATACCTGAGATCCTGTTGGGCGAAGTATCAATTTCGTAGACGGCGACGAGTCGAAAGATGCTAGCCAAGATGACACTGAAGTCAAGTGTTAGCAATGGAGTTCCCTGGAAACGAGAGCGTTACCACATACACGAAACAGACAGCGAACAACGCATATAGGCTCCACCGGTGTTCACGAAGTGTTTCGACCTTCCACAGCAATACCATCGGTATCAAGTACATGACCACATCATTGGCAATCATGAAGCTGGCATTGAAATAGAAGTAGGATAACAAGTTGATGCACTTCCCCTTCTCGAGCTCGCCAGTCGGATCTTGGTATTGACGCCAGGCGTAGCTCAATGGGATGCATTGCAGCAATATGACGAACACAGAACTGAGGCCAAAGGTAAAGGCAGAAAACTGCATCAAGTGGATAAAATATCTCTGGGCACGAGTCTGTGCCAGGCCGTAGTAGAACGTCAACCATGCGTGTTTGACGAACATGTTGCACAGGAAATAGGGGGGAAGGGCTGCAACGATGAGCTATTTTGGCGTCAGCAGTCGTTACAGACAGAACAGCGTTGGGAAAGGTGGAGACTGACTTTTTGCAGAGTTTCTCTGGTTAGGAACTCGACAGGAGTGATGGAAGCTCCAAGCCCTTTGGCCGCGGCTGAAGCACATATCAGTATGACAACCACAAAGCTTCTGCTTAGTGTCTTACCTGCACAGACAATAGAGGTCATCAGCAGAGCGAAGAACTGCACCGTGATGAGTGAGGGCCTGAAACTGCGAAATGGGTCCATCGTACCGCACTCAGAACCAAAAACCCTGCGAGAGGTCAGCCAACGCCTTCGAATCATTCGCCAACTTTCCTGCAAAGCACTCACATTTGCTGGCGGTCAACCGCCCAACGGTCGCCAATTGCCTCTCCAACTCGATCGTCACAGAGACGATGGTGGAAACAGCAAGCACAAGGCTTGTAGCCACGAGGACGGCATCCTTGGATTCCAACATGTTTGAAAGTGCTGCAGGTCGCCGTGCAAAGGTAACCTCAGAGAAAGGTGTAGGCCTATCCGAGCACCCAAGGGTGTCAAACACCCGATATATAGACGACACTCGTACCTTTCTGTAGCACCACAACCCAGTTGCCCTGGCTTTGGTAATATTTTCATGGGTCCGGAGAATTGCTTGCCACTTCGATCCGTGGCGAGGGCTGTAGAACAAGCTCGCACCAGAAGAGTCCAAGTCCAAGATGTCAGTTGTGGGCTAGCGAAGGACCGCAGACGAGTCCAGCCAGTGGCGACTGGGAAGAAAGGTTCGGATGCCTGGTTCGCAAGGGATCGATTCAGAGTTCAGGACTGTTTGCTTTCTCCGTTCGTCCTCATGAGGGAGGGAGGGGTGGAGCGCACGACCTGTCAACTCGGAAATACGGCGTGTTCGTGCCGTCGAGCCATGAGAAGTTGGATTAATGCTATACAGGCCCAGATATGGGCCCAGTGGGACTTGGCTCTCCATGTATGAGTAACTCGTACCTACCGATGCGCCTGGTTCGTTCCTGTTAGGCTTTTTGTTCAGAGTTTTGATTCTGGTCCAACCCGTCGTCGCGCACCGGCACGGAAGGGCGGTCCCAAGTCCCGGCAATCCCATTAGCCAGGCCCACCATGGAGTGGCGAGGCTCACACATACTCGTACCCTGTCAGGTCATGGTCAAGATCGAGAAATTGATTGCCTGTCAAAGTCGGGGCTAGAGGGATGGTACAGAAGTTTCAGCATATCTTGCCGGCTGTCCTTGTCCCAATGTGCACCTGTCAAGTGTCGGATGTCCGGTTCTGGGAACGACAGAGAGTCCTCCCTAGAGAGAAAGTCAGAAGCATAACTTCCAACTGCCATGCGAGGGATGGAGGTTGTGGATAGTGACGAGAACAATAGAGTTGCGAGAAAAAGAGTCCAGCGAATGCCGGATGACCGTTCCGAGCTTAAGTTAGTAGCCAGTTGGAGATAAGAGTCTGGCTCTGGATCGTCGAATCCTGGGGCTTGGGTGTGGGTGTGACGTGCAGGAATGGTCGTAATAGCCAAGCTGAAAGTACTGCACCTCTTTGACCCTTGCAGACCACCAGGTTGGGAGCGTCTACGATCTCAAGGGGCTGGAAAGCAAGATCCGTAAAAGGTGCAAGACACTGGCGATCAGCTGTGAGACCAGGTTTAACTGAGCTCTATCTGACAGCTCCAATGCAAGCTGCGAGTCGATCTCCTGTTGTGAGTGGACGATGCAGCGGTCTTTGGATACCGCATTGACGGCATCCCAATGATGAAGAGGAAAGAAGTTGAAGCGAGGTTGCAGCCAAGACAAGATGGATAACATGTGGGCTCTGATCCTTGTACTGGTCCAGGATCATTCAATGTCTTTATGTGGTTGGGTAAGATCAGCTTTTTCTCGCATCCGCTGAGAACCAGCCACAAAAGGTTTCGTTGATCTAACCATTCAGAAGTCGAGAAGGTGTCCTGTCACTGTGCAGTATCCCTTGGAAAGCTGGAATTGCATGGCTTGCACCAATCTCGCTGACAGCAGTTGACACTTTTGCTATTAGTGTGCTGTGGGCACTCATTTGTCCGTTGCATCCGGATCGCTTGGTTGGTCCAGATTCGCGTCCCTCGAGTAATGTCTCTGATTGGTGAATTGTTGAGCTCCGCCCTACGGAGTAAACCTGGGGAATACATCGAGGGATGCCCGCCAATCATACCCACAGCTCTGGTGCTTCGACAGATCATCCATTGTTGAAGTGACCTCATGAGCTGTAAATTTCAGAGTACGTACTTGCCATCTCACCGAGTAAGAAGCCTGCTGTACCTGGGTACCTTGCATTCTATCTCAAAAGGCCCCCAGCTAGGTTCGAGAATGGAGCAACTAACAGAGAGTTGTGGGCAGGCCCGCGAAAAACCTTGCAGTCCATCGACTTCGGGTAAATCGTCAATGGTTTCCATCCGAACCTCGATTTCTTTCCGAGATCGACGCAATCGGGCTTTTGGACGACTCGGTACGACTCGCTCATGCTCTTCTGTCCATAATTGGTCGCCTACCGAGTACGCCGTAGTGCTCGGTGTTCAGCGGGGCTTTTTGAGCAACCGCAATATTGAGTTGCCATAGAAGCGACGAGCAGCGTTGTTCGCAGCAGCCATTGGTCTTAAGAACGTTGCCATTTGTTCAACAGATTCTAGGCATTTTGTCGGGGTTGGAAGGGTGGAGCCGAGTAGCTCGCAAGCTTATATTTGGTAGAGAAAGCAGCATGCCGTTGCGCATACGGCCACATTGATGTTTTCGAGTTTTGGTGATGTTATAACCGTGACACATCGAGAACAGATATTGGCTGCTTCCAAAGACTTCACCAGGGATGCTCTGGCAATTCAGCCAGGGGTTTGTTGAGATGTCGTACGGGTGTCAAGAGCTGATTGTGCTTTTCAAGAATATACCTGCTGCCGAAAGTAGTGGTGCAGAGGCCCGGTAATTTGAGCGTCGAAATCCACGGCTCTGGTTTTGAAAACGTCCATATTGAAGGGTTAGATGGATTTCTCCGTGGAGACGATATCATTGACCCCAGACCGTAAGGGGCCTGTGCATGTCTCCCAGCGATGCTACCCCTTGCTACATATCCATAGCACCAGATGGTTTACACCACCGACCAGGAGCCCTTCGACCTGCTTGTTGCCACAGTATGAAAATCGACCTTATCGAGGACACGCACCACACGTATTCGCATTGGCAAGTCTCTAGCAAGGCAGCCACTGGACTGATGGTGCTA